GTGCACCCCGGTGCTTCTTCTGCTTCCCCTGCCTGGGCTGACTGACTCTTCACGCACCGCCCAGATAACGGGCCTCTCTGCCGCGATTCAGGCTCCAGTGTTTCCAAATCCTCCTCCCACCGCAGCCCTCCCAGACAGAGACAGAGAGGGCTCGGAGCAGGGACAGGAGAGGTCCGAACTCACACGGTGCCCACGTATGAACCCGGTGTTCAATACGCCACACGTGACGGGCCCACACCCCGGGGGAGCCAAGAGGCTCGCCCTGGGGTTTGGCCCATATGGTACGGTCCAACACTGGTCTGGGTCCGGCGGGGACGCGGTGGGGCTTACGTTGCTCCACGCGCCCTCCATGGGACCAGGCAATAGACCGCCCTCTCCCTCTGAGCGGGAGAGGAGGTCTATGCCCGCACTGGAGGAGTGCGATGCCAACGCGACTCAGGGGTTTAAAGTGCAGTTTAAAGTGCAGTTAAAATCACCCGCCATTATACATAACCCAGGCAAGGAGGAAATCATTAAGAATAGATTCTGAAAAAAAAATAGGTTCATCTGTGTTGGGGGCATATACATTAACTAGTATTATTTTTTGGGTAAGAATAGCTCCCTGGATAATTACATATTGCCCTACTTTGTCTTTGATCATTTTGTGAATCTGTAAAGGAATAGAACTATGAACCATAATCATTACACCCCTTGCCGAAAAGGGAGCCAAATATACATTTCCTTTCCGCCTCCTCCTCACTTTTAACTCATCTTCTGATCTTAAATGTGTTTCTTGTAAGAAAACTATGTTTGATTTGAGTATTTTAATCCTGTTCATCACTTTCTTTGCCTTTTTTAATCTCTGCAGCCCTCTACAGTTCCAAGATGTAATTTTAATGTTTAAATCCACTTATTTATCAAAAGATTGTTAAAAAAAATCCCCACTGCCAGTATTCTCAAACCAAACTTGTTGAACATGAACCCAGAACAACAAATAAATGCCCCCCCGTCCATCTGTTCAGATAAATCCCCCTTTGAACGATGAACTTCCAGAAAGCAAAGATCTGCTCCACACCACGTGAGGAGCAGAATAACTAGTTTACTAAAGCGAAAATAAAGATTGCAGCTGCTCTGCCACTAATATCTCTCCATCAAATAACAAATTAGCATGAAAATAATAATTATCTATTGTGCCATTGTCCGAATTATAGTCCTCATTGGTCTTTATTCTTTACTCATACCTATAAGTCTTCTTGCCTGTCAGATTTAATCTTCCGTATGAAGAGAGAAGCCTCTTCAGCGCTGGTAAAGATGTGTGAGCGGTCATTGTAGGTCACGATGAGACGAGCAGGGTGAATGATGCCGTACCGTAGTCCTAGTTGACGTAGTTGTTGCCGCGCCTCGTCGAAGGTCTTCATCAGCCTGTGTGTCGCGGGCGGAACGTCTTGGTAGAACCGAACGTGTCGGTCTTTGTAGAGGATTTGCCGTTTTGCCCTGGCTGCGCGCATCACCGTTTCTTTGTCCCTATAATTCAAGATTTTTATTATAAGAGCTCTGGGTGCGGAGTCAGCAGCAGCATGGTTTCTTCTTGGTCCCAGCCTGTGTGCCCGCTCCACTGTTAGCTTCACCCGGAGTGGTGCGAGGACCAGCGCCTCCGGGATCCAGCTCTCCAGGAATGTGCAGGCATTGTTTCCCTCGGCCCTCGCCGGCAAATTCACAAGCCTCAAGCCTCAACGCCTTGATCTTGCCTCTAAATCCAATACCTTCTCCTCCAGGGATTTATTCTTCTCCTCCAGGCAAGTCACTTTGTTTTGAAGCGTATTTACGTCGTCTTCTGCCGTAGATATTCTTGATTCTGCCTGAGTGACTCGCGTGGTACAATCTGCTACTTCTTTCTTCACACTTTCTGTTATGACAAGAAGGTTTTCAAATTTTGTAGCAAACTCTGTCTTCAGTGTATAGAGATCAGACTTCATGTCCGTGATTGCTGCCTTTATTCCCCCTAAAGTAGCCTCGGACTCTGGCTGGTTTTCCATAGCCGCGCTCGTTGTTGCAGCAATGCTAGCGATGTCAGCGCCAGCCTCCGTCTCCATTACTTTTTCACTAGCCTTGGGTTTGGTCGTCACTGTGGCAAAAGTTGACAAATCTGATTGCGTTCGGCCCCGAGTAGTCTTCTTCAGCGGCATCGAGTGTTCCTGTTACGCTATAGATGCAAAGGGGATGAATGGCGTCATGAAATGTCGCCAAATGTAAGGATTTTACTAAAAAAGAGTGGCAGAGCAGCTCAGGCACGTCTTCTCAACTACCCGCCATAACCGGAAGTCTCTTCAGCGCTTTTTAATAAAAAAAGGTTTGAACATTTGTCAATCCTTCAACAGAGTCGCTTCACACAGTGAGACGCACAGTGATTTTAAAGGGGTGAATCTTAGGCCTACCTGAATGGGATGTAATCAGTGCTTGTGGGAGACTAGGGTTGGTTTGTCTACAAAACAATCTTCCTCAAAATATCATCAAGAAAAAAAAGGAGACTGAATATGTCAAAAATCTCTGTCAAACCGTGTCAGTCCATAATGTTTAATACAAGTATCAAGGGTATGTAGTCAAGATCTAGCCATCCAAGAGCAACCTGTAAGCATGGCTCAGTGAGTGAGCATAAAGAATGGATTCTGCCCCCCTCATCTTTCCTCATTGGCATACCTCACCTCTGATTCTCGAATAACATGGACTGCAACCATTTGCAGGCGTCCCTGAAATGTGCAGTCTCTGCAATTCACGAGGCTTCGACGAAGACGGGGAACTTAGGTAAAGAGCAAGTGATGCAGAGGACAATAGTGCAATGTCCGACACTATTGTTTGTATGTTTACTTTTGAATGCGCTGGAAAATGGCAAGTCCTAAGTAGCTCTGAAACAGTTGTTGTTTTGTGCTTTACTATTATTATTAGGCCCTTACCCCGAGCCCTGAACGGGGTAAGGGCCTATTGCTTTCACAATGGTGAATGCAAATGGTGGCGGTGCGTGACGGACGCCACCATTGTGGTGTCCGCTGCTCAAACATCGCGGCAAATAGTGAGTTTTCTTTGGTCGTTTTTTACAATATTAGATTTGCTCCCGTTTGCACAAACAAAATCTAATTTGCACAAAACTTTAATACATTGCTCAACTCTTAGGTTTAGGTCAATTGAAAGTAAAATAAATGAACTTGGCTCATTAGCGCCCCCTACAGATGGGGTCAAAGTTTTTAGTATGAGAAGGGTTTGAGGTCAAGTTTGTCGTATAGGCATGACATTTGGTACATATATTCCTGTTCTCAAGACATGAAATAAAAGTTATTATGGCCAAGCCCCCTGACAAACAGGAAGCCCATAAATTTCACTTCAAAATGGAAAAATGAAAAATGATCCTTTTCACACGTGTCGGTTGGAAAGCATCTCATCCTTGGCTGTTTCACCGATTTGCCTCAAAATTGCTCCACATTGTCTAAACACATGTACCATCAAAATGACCTCAGGGAATTTTGATCAGTGAAACGTTGTTTGAGCAACGGAGCGGCAAAATGTGACCTTTTTTCCCCATTTTGACGATAGGTTGTTCGGTTGTTCCACTTTTGGGTTTGGGTAAACTGAAAGTGTAAAACATTCAATTGCAGCATTAGCGCCCCCTACAGACTGAGTCAAGTTTTACATGGGTGAGAATGGCATTTACTAAGTCTGATTTGCACTAAACTTTACTCGGTTGTTCAACTCCTGGGCCTAGGTCGCCTGAAAGTGTGAACAATGACATTGTCCCATTAGCGCCCCCTACAGGCTGAGTAAAACGTTTGCATAGGGGACACAGCGCATTTAGTTTTTCTGTTGTTTGATCTCATATTTGACCCACTGAGCACGCATGAAAACTCACCATATTCTTTTATTATTATTTTTTTTCTGGCAACAAATGAATTAGTATTAGACTAAAAAAAATTATTTTTAGGGGGCGCTATTATTATATTATTATAAAGTAAATGAGCGATGTTTGCACATGCAAAGTCTGATGTGTTCAAAATTTGATTTGATAGTTCAACTCTCGAGTTTGGGTAAACTGAAAGTGTGAAGCATGAAATTGCTGCATAAACGCCCCCTACAGACTGAGTGCAGTGTTACATGGGGAGAATAAGGTTTAGTTTTTCAATAGAGACACACAATCATTGATCATAGACATTCAAAATACAGAGTCGCTCCCATCAGGGCTTTAGGAAGATGGTGTGTCACATGGTCATCCAATGGAGACTGTACAGTATGTGGACACACTCACAGATTGTATTTGGAAACAGGAGCACATGTATAAAGTCTTATTTGTACCCCGCAACTCACGCATGCGGCGGCTCGCACGGTTTGGGGTGTCGCGCGGAGCGGGGAGTCCTGCTCCACCCAGAGACTAGACACTTGTGTTCAGCGACCCTGGTGGAGCATGGCGGAACTACAAGGGTCTGGTGAGAGTCAGGCTACATCCCTACTGCAAGAAATAAGACATGGGTTGTATTGTATTGTGACACTTATTTGATTGGGATCCCAAAACAGCATTTTATACAGAACAATTTCTTCCCCCAAAACAATTATTTTACTCTTTTTGATTAAACTTTGTAGGAGATGGACTTGTACCTGGGTCTTTATTTGAATCACAAACTGGATTGGGCATATAATACAGACACGCTCTTCAAGAAGGGCCAGGGCCGTCTCTATCTACTGAGGAGGCTCAGGTCCTTTGGAGTGCAGCAGCCAGTATCAACGACAAGCTGGTCAAGATATGAACATTGTATATATTGTATAAATGTAAATGGGTATCTCTCACGCTGCCCTGTATGTAGCCACAATATGCATTAGCCCTTGAAGAAACCTTTTTTCATGTTTTGGATCAACAGCTGAAGCAGAACATTGACACACATAGGAGGCTGGAGTTTCTCTGAAATATGCCAGTTATTCACTGGTGTAACCTTCCCATACCGGCCCCAGAAGTCCAACGCCAGCTCTGTCACAGATCTTACCTTTATGATGTCCTCAGTGGTGCGCTCCACTTGCCTCAGCCTCTTCAGAATGGCCTCTTCGTTTGCCGACAGCTGCAGCTCTTGCTGTTCCAGAGCGAACATCTCCTCCTCCATCCTATGAAGAGCACATTTATACATATTGCACAGTTATTAATTCCTCTCAGTATAATTACAGCTGTTGGCTATGGCTAGAGTGATCACTAAACAGTATCATGAAGTCCAAGGAGCACACCAGAGAGGTCACGGATGAAGGTCTGGAGTTTAAAGCAGCGTTAAGTTATACAAACATTTCAACTCTGATATCTAACAGAGCAGTGCAATACATTATTCAGAGACAGAATGCCACTGCAAATCTTCTAGGACTCGGCTGTGCGAACTCACTCGAACAAAGATAAACACTCAACACAGATGCATACACTAGGGCTGTGCTGCAGACATACAGTATACATCTCACCTGGGTGAATCAGTATATGGGGCATACAGTATATTAGTCATACAGAAGCCTTTATGACGAGTGGCAACACACGAGTGGCAACACCGCTGGCATAGTTCACACTTACCAACCTCACTGAATATGTGTGTGTGGTGCTGCATCCCAACTCTTCTGCTTCACAGATTTTGGAGCACCTTGGCCACGTCTGGCCAAAGCTCCATGACAATGATGACTGAGGAAAACGTTTCCAAGAAAAACGTGTTTTGTGTGTGCGCATGTTGGGCTGTGCAACTCCCTATCAGCACTGTGAGGAATGTTGGAGTCGTAATTAACCAAGAACTCTCCTTCAAGGCATGTGACGGAGCAGCCTCCGTCAAAGCCCAGAGCAGTCTCTCTCGTCCGTGCGCACTCACCCCCCCACACACACATACTGTACATACCTCACTTACCTGTCCCGTCCCTTGTCAGTCCGCTCCGTTTCCATCCCCCGTTCATTCATTCATCCCAGTTGTCTTGAGTGCACACTAGGCCTCTTGTTAACCATTCCCATCCATAGTTGTGCACTACATAAAGTTTCCATCCAGTATCCATCTCCCAAACAAACTCAAACCCGGCAAACCAGCACTGCTCGTATATCCTGTTTTGAGCATACGTCTGCGTCTGACATAATTATAATAACTATTATTCTTCTGTTGTCTACAGATGCAGATGATAACTCTATATTAGGAGTTAAATGACCTGTGAGAGGAGCCAGAGGGGTTTAAGAAGCAGGGCAGCCTTTACTGTAGTGTCAGTGAGTCTGAACTGGGACAGAGTAGGTAAGCCAGAAGACCTTTTTGAAATGTTTTCTTTTTCTGTAAATACTGTACATATGTTTGCAAGTCCTAAGTAGCTCTGAAGCAGTTGTTGTTTTGTGCTTTATTTTTCTTGCTTTTTTCTGCCTGAGATGTTGCTGCAGTACAGTTTGCATAGTTTTGCACTGGTCCAGACCAGAGCAAAATCAGAAAAATCCTTCCTAAAAGTAACGCAGAAAGTGACCATATGGCTATGCCCAAAAATCCTTTATAAAAAGCTTCCAGCTCATCCCAAGAACACTTATCCTTATTTTAACATAAGAACAAAATCCTTCTTGATGCCATACCATAAATGGTATGGCATCATCTTACCTCCAAGACCTGCCAGTGTCATACCAACCAAACCGAGCATTGTGCTTGCAAAAAGACGTCTGGTAGAAAAAAGATTCGGCGGCAGACATTTAGCTGTTAAGCTCCTTTACTGTAGAATCAGATCACCATCCATGTCAATTGTTTTTTGTTTTTGTTTTACTATTTTTCTTTGTCTGTGTCCCCTTGATCCGTTGGCAACCCTAAATGTGGCTGATAGTGATCTATAAATGTTGTATTTTGCAATTTGAATATGAAGCTACATTCTGACATAGGAAAATAATTATGAACTCTGATATACTCTTTCTTTCCATTTTTATGATTTTATGAATTATGTGAGCTATGTGTACTCACTGGTCCGGTTCATCACACAGGCTGGGTCTTTTCTTTTCTGTGATACTAAATCACAATTAATGGCAAGCTGAGCCCAGAACAGACATAAAGCTGCAAGTACCCCCACCCATGCGGTAGGAGATCGGCCCTTAACCCCCGTACACTAATTTTACAGCTTATCATAAACGCTGAGCCTGATGAACTTCCTCATTAAGCTCACAATGAGTATGAGCTTAATGAACAGACATTTACAATAGCTCTGGTCAAGGGTTTGGACCTTGGAGAGCAAGTGGGTTTTGGGCTTTTCTTTTGGACTTGTGAGCAAATGAAGTTGAATGAACTCTTATCTGCGCAGTGCTGTATTGATGAAATGTCATGACTGTACATATGTTAAATAATACACAAACTTACCAGCAAGCAAACTAAAGTCACTGTTTGACTCACCTCTCAGAGCGAACCCTAGATCTTCAATACTAGTCTTCATATTCATCTTTACTACAATCATTCTACTGTATATGGGATATGGGTTACAACTGCACAGATGTTTCTTTACACTATGCCAGCCGCTTGGGTATGGCGTTTCATGTAGGACTTCCCTGCAAGTATCTTGCACCCTTAGGTATGTGTTGGCAGGTCCTCCTTTGCCACCTTGGGTCTTGTCTGGTGTGATATATCAGGGCCAGCTTCTGTGCAGCCATGATAAGAGCCTTTTGTGCTGTCTTGTAGGCCAGCCCTTTCCAGCCATTGGTAGGACTTCTTGAGATCAGCCACTTCTGCTACGTTCCGGCGGTACATGCCGAGTAGGAGCTTGGTTAAAAATCCATTTTCATAATATATCTCCTTTAAAAGCCCAAATACATACAAATGTTATCTGAGTCGCTAGATCATATCTTAAGCATAAATTAATAATAAGAAACACCTTTTTGGATTGTCATGAAATTCTCCAGCATCGCTCGTGCCCCCTTTATAAGGGTTCTGTCATATTATGTCCAATGGCTTTGTTCTCTAAAAATAATAATTGAATACTTGATATTTATTGTTCTGTATGACCTGTCGATGTTGCTCTGGAGATGGGCTGTGCGCTGCACTTCATCCTGGACCTGCATCTTCATGGCTTCTCGTTCCTCCTCAGACTGGAGACCGTCCATCAGCCATTGTTCCCTCAGAGACTTCTTCTAAAGAAACATTGAAAAAAAATATTAGTTTTTTTTTCTACACAGATGTCTAATCTTTACAAACAATATAAAAGCCTCACTTCTGTCAGTGTTCCCCATGGCAAGGGGTGATAAACCGATCTATGGTCATAAGCTATGCCCAAAACGATGAGATTGCAAATACAAGCAAGCTTGGGCATCTGTTTCGAGTGCCACCTAGACACTGGGCATGTGCCACTGGAAGGAGTCTCTGAGGAAGACCCAGGACATGCTCAAGGTACTATGCCTGGAAACCACTGTTTAAGGAGTGAAAGAATAACGACATGGGAAGCATCTTGTTAGGCCGAGCCACTACGTAGTATTGGGGAGGCCTATTGTTATTCTGTGGTTTCATATTATTCTTTTTCCGCCGAAACAATTTGATTTTTGACCCTGAAGGCATGCACGAAAGTCTGCACATGGGGGGTCTAAAACGACCGGTTCGGCAAAACATTTGATGAAACGGACGTTTCGAGATTGCCCGATAAAAGGCAAATCAATAGCGCCCCCTTGAAAATTCAAAATTTGCCATTTCTATTGGAGCCAGGAATGCATATTTTGGAGTAGGTACACGAAATTCGGATGAGTGATAGAAATCTATGAGACGAGTAAAACAGCCGGTCTAAGCACATGTCTGGGACCAACTGGATTCAGAGCTCATCATAGCACTGAAACGGCACTAGTCAAAGTCACAAATGACTTACTACTAGCTGCCGATAATGGACAAGTGTCAGTGCTGGTCCTACTGGACCTTAGTGCTGCATTTGACACAATAGACCACAGCATTCTACTGCAGAGGCTAGAATGTGATATAGGTATTAGAGGAACAGCCCTTGGCTGGTTTAAATCCTATTTATCAGATCGATATCACTTCGTCAATGTGAATCAGGACTCGTCGCCTTATTCTGGAGTGGAATTCGGTGTGCCGCAGGGTTCGGTACTCGGACCGATTCTTTTTACTCTCTACATGCTGCCATTGGGAAACATTATTAAAAAGCATGGAATTAATTTCCACTGCTATGCAGATGACACACAGCTTTATCTGTCGATGAAGCCTAACCAGACAGATCAGCTAGAAAAGCTCAGTGCCTGCATAAAGAACCTTAAAATGTGGATGACTCTTAACTTCCTACTTCTCAACCCGGAGAAGACAGAAGTGATCCTACTCGGTCCGAAGCGCCTGCGTGACTCCCTCACTAACCAGATGGTTACTCTCGATAATGTCAGTATAATACCCAGTAACACTGTGAGGAATCTTGGAGTCATTTTTGACCAAGAACTCTCCTTCAAGGCTTATATAAGCCAAGCAACTAAAACGGCGTACTTCCACTTACGGAACATCGCTAAAATTAGGAATTTCCTTCCTAAAAGTGACGCGGAAAAACTCATTCACGCGTTTGTCACCTCAAGGCTCGACTACTGTAACGCTTTACTGGCAGCGTGCCCTAAAGCCTCTTTGAAGAGCTTCCAGCTCGTTCAGAATACAGCAGCTAGGATCTTAACAGGTACCAAAAGGAGGGAGCACATAACACCGGTGTTAAAATCACTCCACTGGCTCCCTGTGGAGTACAGAATAAAGTTTAAAATCCTACTCTTAACATATAAAGCCATAAATGGCTTGGCTCCTTCTTATCTCCAAGACACGTTAGTGTCGTATCAACCAAGTCGAGCGTTGCGCTCACAAAACGCCAGACGTCTGGTGGTCCCTAAGGTCTCAAAGTTCACTGTTGGTGGCAGAGCATTTAGCTACCAAGCTCCTTTACTGTGGAATCAGCTTCCCATTTATGTTAAGGAAGCAGATACGGTCTCCACATTCAAGGCCAGGCTTAAAGCACTCTACTTTAATTTAGCATATAATTAGGTAATATATAATATGTAGTGTATATATTATATATATATGCTGTATTATGTTATATATTATGTTATATATTATTCAATAATGTATTGTGTTATGTTGTATATTATGTTATATATTATGCTGTATGTTATTCTTTATTCAAGGCTAGGTTTAAAACAGTCCTCTTTGGTTTAGCATATGGTTAGGAAGGTAAGACTCTGAGAAGGTTAAACTCCTCAGACTGTCAGTCAAGCTGCATAGGGAGTCAGTTTGCTGGGAGAAGTATGGTAACTTGAGCACTATCCTCTCCTCCTTCCTACTTTATCTGTTTAGCACTTTTAGGATTCTGACTGTAGTTTGTTCATTGCTATTCACCCGTTGTCCCATTGTCTGTTTCATGGTACGATGACGGGATCTCTGAGCCTGGCCTCTTCCATCTACACCTGCGGACTGCCCCGCCCGACCCGCCTGGGAGTGCTTTGGTCCTGCACCGGACCTGTCCACTTTCAGCGGCCACTGGTCCACGTTCTGTAGCTAGCTTAGGTCCTAGATCATTAGCCTGTCCGTCCGGAGGAGCGGATCCCTTTCTCATATGGGTCTCCCTCCCTGTGGGTTTCCCTAGTGCTCCCCAAGGTTTCTCACGTTTTCCCACTGGGTTTTTTAAGAGTTTTTCCTTGTCGATGCAGGAGGGTCTTGTTGGACAGTTAGTGTCCAACAGAAAGGATTGGTGATGATCAGGACACTTTAGCATTCTACAACATGTATGGACATTTTCTTCTGTGTGTGCTTTATATTCTTCATGTGTTTTAACTGTTGATTCTCTGACCTGTGTTTGTGATTTCAATGGTTTTGTTAAGTCCTCTGAGATGACTTCTGTTGTGACCTAGGGCTATACAAGAATAAATTGTATTGTATTGTATTGTAACAGGAAGTCGGCCATGATGGCCTGAAGTTTCGCCACCAATTTGACTTTTCATTTTTAACTTCGAACTAGTCCCTGGTTTTTCATCACACAGAGTTCTACCATGTCCTTTCCCGCTCTGGATGGATTGAAGTTATACAATCATTTATAAAGAGTTGGAAAATCATCACCATTTTCGTCCCTCGCCATGGCGAATAAGGCCTTCGTTTTGGCCATTTCCGCTGAGCCAGGAGGGCCACAGGCTAAGACCTACAGAGCTGAGTTATGGCCTGAACGCAATGACACTAAAATCATTCGCCCAATATGAGCTCTTTAGCGCCACCTGTCGGAAAGTAATAGGGCACTAGTGCTCGGATCGGCCCGAAAATCGCTGAGTGCAATCTCTGGACGAAGACAAGCAAAACATTACCTTACGCAAAATGTGTAAGTGCCGCACCTGACCACTGGGGGCTCTACAAAGTTAATGAATGAGCTTTTTAGGGCAAAATCTTTGTCCAATGAGGCTAAAAATGAATTCAGAAATACAGCGTATGACCCTGAACACAACGACATGCAATAAATAACTGTGAGTGCAACAGCGCCACCTACAGGCAGTTCAAGGTGTTGTGTTTTAGGCTTTGTACTAGTCCCTGGTTTTTCATCATACAGAGTTCTACTATGTCATTTCCCAATCTGGACAGATTGAAGTTGTGCAATAATCTGAAAAAAGTTAGAAATTCATCATCTTTTTCATGCAAGTAACCAGTTTATTTCATATAGTAATATTATACTCAGAGCTCTAATACCCAACCTGACCACCAGTGGCGCACCTCTTGCCTAATACAAAGTATAGTGAAACAGGCTGCTGAGTCTTCCTACTGATAGCGTAGTGGTTAAAGCTCTGTACTGGGACTCTGGCAACTGGGGTTTGATTCCCAGGTTCAGATTCTACTGTCTTTGGGTTAGTTTGATGAAGATTATTTTATGCTCAGTTTACATTATTACTGTTTCATAACTGTGACAAGCAAATTAGTTTGAAAATACACACTCAATATAAACTCTATAGCGCCACCTATAGGAGGACCTAAAAATAAACTGTATAAAAAAGTCACTGGGTCAAATCTTTAAATCCATACAAGCAAAAATTTTACATTACGCAGAGGGTGCATGTCCCACAGATGACCACTAGGGGTGAACTATAGCCTGCTCTCCTGACCACAGGCTCAGACCTACAGAGCTGAGACTCACATTACTAACAGTTGGTAATGACCTGAGCGTAATGGTGTGAAAATACAGACCTTATATGACTCTACAGCGCCACCTATGGAAGTTTTCTGACCTAAACTTTTCAGATCCTCACCAAAGTCGCACAATCAAATCTTTACTCTAGTACGAGCAAAATACTGCTCTACGTAGCGGGTGCATGTCCCGGACGTGACCAATAGGGGCGCACTTTATCCTATTAATGAGCTATTATGCACGTAATCCTGGTCCAATCGGGCTGCCAATTCGTCGGCGAGTATGCCGCGTGACGCTTGTGGGCCTGGCGCACGGGAGGCGGTCGCAAGAGTGGCGAGGCCTTTCATCGCCGCTTGCGGCTTTAATTTAATGTTATTCTTGTTTATTAAATTGCAACATAAAAGATGTACACAAAGTTTGACATGCAAGTGTCTGGTATTGCCAATAGGACTGGTCACGGTTTTGATCTAACAATATGTCATATTTGGTCAGAAGAGCCGAAACATATATAGGATCATACAATGGGTGCTTGTGAAACAATTTAAAGCACATATATTGAAAATACACCTAAACTAAATAATATTGACAGATAATGTACTCAACATGTTACAGTTACTTAAATTCATACATGTGAAAACATCATTAAGATAATTTGTAGCGGTCCTCCCCTTAAGTGGATGAGATCAAGTATCACGGGGTTGGATGGAGCGTGAGATTGACAGACCGATTGGTGCTGATGTATATGCTGTATTGGACTGTTGTGTTGAGCAGAGGCAATAGGCAGTATTTTAAGTGGCCCAAAAGAGGTGCCGGTAGTCTTTTATTTTATTAGTCCTAACCCTCCTATTATTAGTGTTTTCATGCAAGGTGGGAATTTCTCCATGTTTTATGCTATCTTGGCCACAGGCTCAGACCCACAAAGTTGAAACTCACACCGCTAACAGTTGGTAATGGCCTGAGTATAATGGTGGGAAAATACACACCTAATATGACTCTAGAGTGCCACCTATGGGAGGCCTCCAACCTAAACTTTTCCAATCCTCACCAAAGTTGCACAGTCAAATCTTTAGATCTGTATGAGCAAAATACTACATTAGCAGAGGGTGCTGTCTCACAGGTGACCACTAGGGAAGCACCTTTGAATGAGCTTTTCCATTTGTAATTCTGGTCCGATCAGTCTGTGAATTCTGTGAACTAAAATTACTTCATATTTTTGTCAACTAAAACTGGACTAAAGCTAAATTAAATCAGATGATTAAATTGTGAATAAAACTAAAATACATTTTTGTCAAAAGACAAAGACAAGACTAAATTAGTGACGCGCATTCTCTAGCTTTCAGACGTAGGGGTCTTCAGACCAGAAGTCCTGGCCTATGGTGGCGCCCGCCGGAAGTGGCGTAAGTAGCCGGCGGACTTTGATGCTAACGGAGTTAAGCTAGCAGCTTTTTGTGTAAAGTTCTTCTCCAATAATGCAGCTCAGCAGCGTCTCTGTGTCCAGAGACCTTCCAGAGACTTTATAAAACAGTAGTATGTGTTCAAGGAGGTGTGCCATATGTTTATTTTATTATTAAACGGTACTTCTGCAACTGCTTCGGGCGAACACGCTCAAAGCAGTTGCATAAAGTCACGGGAGCATGAAAACACATATGTTCACAAGCACAGAGTCCCCCATTGTCAACCCTGGTTTAGTCCTGGTTTAGTCCTGATGTAGCTTCTGTTTTGGCAGTTTACGAGTATGTTCAGTCAGCTCGCTCAGACCGCTAATGTCCCCGTGACCACTTTGCGGCTCTCTGATTGGTCGCTGCACAAGCGTCCTGAGGAAATGTTCAGTAATATTTATCTCCTGCGTTCGTCAATTTTCCCCTCTTGCGCCTCTACCGCGCCTTTGCAGCGCCTTTGCCACGCAGTCTGTGCGTCTCAACCGCGCAGTCCATGCATGCATCCCGAGATGCACATTCAGTTCCACGCTCGAACGCGCGTCACCATTGACTTTGCGTTAAAAGTCGACGCAACGCATAATCCGGTGTGAACGCAGCTTAAGTATTCATCAAAAAAAAGGCAGAGGTTTCATTCTTAAAGAAGTATATTAATTGTTGTCAGCCATTGTAACATTTACAGTTTCAACAGTAAAACGCGCGTAAATATAGGGAAAAAAAACATTAAAACTGTACTTAAATAATGACAGTCAGAGCTGCACCCAGAGCACCAGCCCCTAGAGGGTTAACATGAGAAATAAAATATTTAGCCTTGTAGGTCTCATTAGGCTCGCTCTTATCTTGCGAAAAGTACATTTTAACTAAGTGAAAGCCTAGACTAATAGTTTATTATTCAATACAATACAATTTTTAAGGACTCATCTCTATGTATAGTAATAATTATACCATCATAAAACATTTTTTTTAACTATAATTATTCAATAATTATGACAAGAAAAAGTTATTGGTTTATGAGGCCACTCAGAATGGCCTCATAGTGCTGGTATGTCATCCTGAATTTTGGCCACCATAAAAAAATAATTCACAATAAATGGAAACTGTATTACTAACTGTGCCAACATTGGCAGTGGATTAAAAAAAAACACTTTGTTCAATCAATGAAAAACATTACTAGTAATTGAGAATTTCAAATAATCAGATGGAGGCCAAACAATAGACACAAAAAACAAGAATTATAACAAATTTTTCAAGGTCCAAATCAAATGATATAAATCAGTGTCTCCCAAAGTGGAGAGGTCATCAAAAAAAAAATCAATCATCCAATTGTAATTATTTGTTTATAACAAAATGGGGATGGTCATTTACACGTTTGTAGCAGAGGCTATATCCCCCAAATAAAATAACAAGAAGAGCCTATTTTTAACGTTTTCTTCTTGGTTATTATTTTGGGGGGCCGCGCAGACACGTCAGATTTTTAAGGGGGCCCCAGTGTTGCTGACTTTGGGAATGGCTGATATATATTGCACACCTACTTCCTAAAACATTATCAGTTATCAGTTAATAGAAATATAGATAGATAGATAAGATACTTTATGATTCAGGAGAAATTAAAGACTGCATTTAGTTGTTTAAATAAAAATAATATATATTAAATAATAAACAAATAGAGTAAGAACCGACAAAAACTGTACTTAAATAATGACTTCCACCACTTGACATGCACATTTCACTGGGGAAATTCCTGTTTGAAAAGGCATAAACCAGCTCTGTCCAAAATTCAACAGTCAGAGGAGTCATCAATGAAAGAAGTATGAAAACACGGCCTTGTGATTACCTTGATGTACTGCAGTTTGACTTTCTCCTCTTCAATGTCTCTCCTCTTCCGACTGATGTCCTCACGGATCCTCTTCTTGTCCTGGATGCGCACAAATGCACACACACTCATCACATTGGCAAAACATTCTTTTGAAATAAGAAATAATGTGTTTCAACTATATTTATTGTGATCATATATACAGTGCCTTGCGAAAGTATTCGGCACCCTTGAACCTTTCGCCACATTTCAGGCTTCAAACATAAAGATATAAAAATTTAATTTTTTGTCAAGAATCAACAACAAGTGGGACACAATCGTGAAGTGGAACAAAATGTATTGGATAATTTAAACTTTTTTAACAAATAAAAAACTGAAAAGTGGGGCGTGCAATATTATTCGGCCCCCTTGCGCTAATACTTTGTAGCGCCACCTTTTGCTGCAATTACAGCTGCAAGTCGCTTGGGGTATGTCTCTATCAGTTTTGCACATCGAGAGACTGGAATTCTTTCCCATTCTTCCTTGCAAAACAGCTCGAGCTCAGTGAGGTTGGATGGAGAGCGTTTGTGAACAGCAGTCTTCAGCTCTTTCCACAGATTCTCGATTGGATTCAGGTCTGGACTTTGACTTGGCCATTCTAACACCTGGATACGTCTATTTGTGAACCATCCCATTGTAGATTTGGCTTTATGTTTTGGATCATTGTCCTGTTGGAAGATAAATCTCCGTCCCAGTCTCAGGTCTTTTGCAGACTCCAACAGGTTTTCTTCCAGAATGGTCCTGTATTTGGCTCCATCCATCTTCCCATCAATTTTAGCCATCTTCCCTGTCCCTGCTGAAGAAAAGCAGGCCCAAAGCATGATGCTGCCACCACCATGTTTGACAGTGGGGATGGTGTGTTCAGGATGATGAGCTGTGTTGCTTTTACCCAAACATATCGTTTTGCATTGTGGCCAAAAAGTTTGATTTTGGTTTAATCTGACCAGAGCACCTTCTTCCACATGTTTGGTGTGTCTCCCAGGTGGCTTGTGGCAAACTTTAAACAAGACTTTTTATGGATATCTTTGAGAAATGGCTTTCTTCTTGCCACTCTTCCATAAAGGTCAGATTTGTGCAGTGCACGACTGATTGTTGTCCTATGGACAGACTCTCCCACCTCAGCTGTAGTTATCTGCAGTTCATCCAGAGTGATCATGGGCCTCTTGGCTGCATCTCTGATCAGTCTTCTCCTTGTTTGAGATTAAAGTTTGGAGGGACGGCCGGGTCTTGGTAGATTTGCAGTGGTCTGATATTCCTTCCATTTCAATATAATTGCTTGCACAGTGCTCCTTGAGATGTTTAAAGCTTGGGAAATCTTTTTGTATCCAAATCCGGCTTTAAACTTCTCCAAAACAGTATCTTGGACCTGCCTGGTGTGTTCCTTTGTCTTCATGGTTCTCTCTGCACTTTAAACAGGACCCTGAGACTATCAAAGAGCAGGTGCATTTATACAGAGACGATTGAAAGATTTTTGGGGAACCCCCCAGCAGTCTATCCAGTATAGTTGAAAAATTAAGGTCTTTTTATGCATGTTCCTTTATTAGCCTTTAGCATAGGAAACAGGGAATGTTCCTATATTTAGTACAGGAGACTAGGGACGTTCTTTTAATATCTCTTTAGCATAGGAAGCTGCAATAGTCCCTATTCACAAGCACAGTCAGCCTACCGCCTTTCTTCTGTCCACTCAGATGGTGTAAAATATAAAGCATACAGCAGAGTCCTAGTGTAACCAGGTTTCTGTGTACACCTGGATCCTAGCGTCCCTGCACTACCACAGCTTGTCTGCTTTGTGAGTTAGGGAATGCACTTTTCCCATGATTTCACAGGGTACCACAGGTTTGTCAGGAGGAGTTTCTATGTGCCTCTGTTCTTGAGATAATCCGAGATGAATGTCAGTTTTGTTTTGAATGGTCAGAACATAGGACCATCATGACTTGGGACACACAACACATGAACATGTGCACAACATGCACACACTCACAACTGAGGGAGCCTCGGCTGGTGGCCTCACAACATGTCAACTTTTTTTTTTTTAACAAACATAAACAATACAGAACAGATAGAAAAGATTTGTACAAATAAATGACATAAATATTACAGTAATGTTACAGCACACAATTACTATTTCAAATAGGAAATACAAACCTCCCAGGTACAAAAGTAAGATTGTTTTTACAGTTCTGTAATTTTGCTACCAACAGTTCAAATGATGCAATATCAGTCATTGCACAACCCACTCCCTGTAAGTCGGATAGTCCAGACTTTTCCATTTTCGTAGGATGACTCTAGCAGCCAAAATAAAACCTGTTTATTTATTTATTTATTACTGGGACAGTGCATATTAATGAACATTTCTGTAAATATGCCAGAATTAGCCAAACGGCTATTTTTCATCCGTAGTCCCATGTCTCCTGAAAAGATAAAAACATGTTTGCTACACAGTTAAAATAATGTGAGACATTTACAATATTTACAAGGACAAGACATTAAAACCTTCAGTCACACGTCGTTCAACAAACAACAATACACAATCACATGGAGACAGACATAGAACACATACAGGCGCACACAGAGCATGCGGCCAGCAGGGGGCAGCGAGAGCAGGCGGTTAAAGTGGTTCTCACCCCCGCTCCTCGGAGCTTACGTCACTCACATTTCCTGTTCAAATCTTCCTCTAAATGGGCGTAGCCTGGAGGACTAAAGGGGGCGTGAACGAGACTGGGCCGTTTACATTGCTCTGGGCGGGGGGCTGCTGACGTCAGGTCTTGCTTCAGACGTCAGGTCTTGCTGCCGCGCCAGTGTTGGCGCCAGATTCAAAATTCAAATGTAGTAATACAGGTCGCCAGCAGATGGCGCCTCACAGACGGTTTTAGGCAGAAAGATTAACTTTCAACTAATTTGCACCAAAGTGACAAGATTATGACCAGGATATGTTGACAACACTATTGGGCACTCATTTAAATCGTTTATCAGCAAAAAAAAGTGGATTTGAGGGTGAGTTGTCCTTTAAAGCCAAAGCTGTTTTAGCTTTCGAAAAAGTTGGTAAAAAAGAGACATTTCCTAACAAACAAAGTTGAGCATTATCAGGCACATAACCTAACCAACCTTCAACAGTCTTTATAACCTCCCTCCAAAAAGATCTAACTTTAGAACAAGTCCACATGGCATAAGCAAATGTTCCCGCCTGATTTTTACATTTCCAGCATTGACCACTTTGAAGAATACCCATTTTGAAAAGACGTGAAGGTGTGAAGTAATATTTGTGAAGTATTTTATTATGAGTAAGTTTCCCATGTGCTTCCCTCGTAAACCACCCAGCTTTGGATATTAGTTTCACCCATGTCTCTTTGTCTATGTTTACATTCAGGTCCCTCTCCCAAACAAGCCTCAGATTTTCATCATTGTCGTACAATGTTCTCGACACCATTTTTATAAAATGGATGCAGACTGACACTTGGGGCCGTAATTCTAAATAGATCTGTACAACACTGTCTTCATCCGGCTAATATTTGATAATACTGTTCAAACTACTTCTCAATTGCAAAAATCTTCAGAAATCAGAGTTTTGTAAATTAAGTTCTCTTCGAAGATCCTGATAGGATTTACATATTTTATTCTCCACAACAACATCTGAAATAGTTGTGATTCCACTATTCAAACAAGATTCCCAAAAAAGTGTAATGCCCCCTATAGGCCGTCTGATGAGGCAGAAATTGCGTTGTTTCGTTCCAAGCTCGGGGCATGAAAATCTGAGCGGATCATGTGAAAACTTGTCTAACATACAGAACATAACCAAAAGTTCTCCATTCGAATTCCAGCAGTTATTGTATAGTTTGAAATCTTACGCCGGACTATTTCTCGTGTAAGGAGACGAAAAAGGTTGTAAACCGTCACTGCTCAGCCAATAGGAGACGCGTATTATCGAGCAGTTCCGGGCAGATCACTACGCGATATGTCAACAAATATGGCGTGTTGTGGATCACCACCGTCGTCTTCTGAGGCAGAAATGGACGCTTTGCCGCTTTTAAAATGCATCATGCGCATAGAACCAGCTGCAGCAAACCTCTGTGAGAAACTGACGGAACCTAGGTGGGACACCAGCCAACGATGGGCCCGTGATTGGGACAAGACGAGCGTAGGGAGTCGGGAGTCCGAAATAGTTCGTGTGTGCCTCCCACAATCTACAATCTCTCCCATGACTCGCTGAAAAGGCAATCATTTGTTTGGGCAAGAGGGTGCCAGACAAACTCATCCAGGCAGAAACTGAAAGTGCAGGTCAGCCTATGATGTTGATGTTTTCCAAACATATTACACTACGTTTCGATTGATTCTGTTTGGTATTCATGTGATATACAAGGTTTGGAGGGGCCTACCTACAACCAAACTACATAAATAACAGCTAAGTCCAAGATGGATATACCTACTAGCTACTCTAATTACAACTAACTATGATGACTAGTTTAACCCTGTTTAAGTTTGACACAGGTCAAAAGATATTTCAAAAGTTATGTGATAGAAAAGGATGAGAGAACACCATGATGTAATTGTGACAGTTTTATTTTTTATTTTTTAGTTTAGTTTAGTTTATTCGGTCAGGCATCGAAAACAAAGTTGTACAAGGATAGTTTCCACAGGAACACAAAATATTCCAAAAAATAAAATAAAAAAGAATGTACCGTACAAACTGATACTTTACTTTACACTGACCAAAAAGGCGTCGGCTGAAGCATAAGCTTATAATGCCTGCCTTTACAACACAACATGTGCCTTTGTGTTTTTCCTCATTGGAAATACAAAAAGAAAGTAAAAAATAAAAATAAAAAAACATCAGGCCGTTTATCCATTAAGGAGATACAGAAACAGAAAATTATTGGACAAATTTCAAGTATCTGACAAGAGTCTTATTTTTATATAATCTTTTAAAATGAAAGAGAGAGGTGCACTGTTTGAGTTCCTCTGTACAGTTATTCCAGAGGTCGACCCCTTTAATAGAAATTCAGGAACCCATTGTATCTGTTCTAAAATATTTTTTATTGAAAACTTCTCCTCCTCGAAGCTCATAATGGCTTTGTCTTATGTCAAAAATATTTAGCAGCGCTTGGGACAAAAGTTTGTTTTTAACTCTAAACATGATTTTTAGAGTATATAACTCTACAAGGTCATAAAATTTCAATGTTTTAAGGTTTGTAAATAAAGGATGAGTTGACTGGTTGTAATTCGAGAATGTGATGAGCCTTATTGCCTTTTTTTGCAGTATAGCGATGGGTTTGGTGTTTGTTTTGTAGGTATTTCCCCAAATCTCTATACAGTACGTTATATATGGCATTATTAGTGAGTTGTATATAATAAGTAAACTCTCTTTATTTAGATTATGTCTAGATTTATATAATATTGCTATTGTTTCAGATAATTTAATTTTGATATAATTTGTGTGATTTCCAATTTAAATCCTCATCAATGATTACTCCTAAAAATGTATTTTTATTTACTCGTTCTAATGGCATATTGTTCAGCGTTAAGCTTACTCGATTGTCAATTTTACGATTTGAAAATATCATGTATTTCGTTTTTTTAATGTTTAAAGATAATTTATTAATATCAAACCACATTTTAAATTTGTGCAACTCTCTTTCCATCATTTCCACAAGCTGATTTAAATCATGACCAGAGCTGTACAAGGTGGTGTCATCCGCAAATAGGACACAATTCAACTTTACCGACACATTGCACAAATCATTAATGTAGATAATGAATAATTTAGGTCCTAGAATGGATCCCTGTGGAATTCCATAAGTTATTTTAACCATTTCTGATTTTGTATCATTTATTTGTACGTACTGGTGCCTATTTTCTAAATAACTCTGTAGCCATGTATGCACTGGTCCTCTAAATCCGTATTTTCTTAGTTTTTGTAATAGGATGTTGTGATCTAGGGTATCAAAAGCCTTCTTCAGGTCAACAAATACCCCAACACTGTATTGTTTGTCATCAATTGCTTTGGAAATGTTTTCTGTTAAATCCATAACAGCCATTGCAGTGGAGCGGTTCTTTCTGAACCCATATTGGTGATCGCTCAGTAGTTCATATTTTTCTAAGTACTGATCAAGTCTTTGAACAAACACCTTCTCGATTATTTTTGAAAATTGGGAAAGCACAGAAATAGGTCTATAGTTTGAGAACGAGTGCTTATCACCAGTTTTGAATATCGGAATAACTCTAGCAATTTTCATATCATCTGGGAATCTGATTACATATATATGTTAGGGGCTGTGCAATGGGTATAATTGTGTTTTTTATTAATTTCATGTCTATATCATTTATGACTTTAGACGTTTTTTCTTTAAATTGTTTTACAATTTGTACTACTTCTTTTTCATTTGTAGGATTAAGGTAGAAGGAATTCATATTAGTTTGAACGGCCTCACTGGGGGTTATATTTATTCCTTTATTGTCAATGTCTTTTGCAAGATTGGAGCCCACATTTGCAAAATATTTGTTGAATTCATCAACTATTTCTTTTAGGGATTCTATTTTGGTATTTTCCTTTTTCATGTAATTTGGGATTTCTGACTTTTTTTGTCCTTCCTTTATGATTCTATTTATCACACTCCATGTACCTTTTATATTTTGTTTTTGTGCTTCTAATTGGGTTTGAAAGTACTCCCATTTTTCTATTTCTCATAATATGTGCTAATTTATTGTTGTACTTTTTATATTTTCTTTCAGCATCTACTGTTCTATTTTTTACAAATGTTTTGTACAATTGGTTCTTCTTCTTACAAGCTCTTTATAATCCCTTGGTCATCCATGGTTTTTTTTTAGGTTTGGATCTATCCTTTACTCTTTGTAAAGGAAAGTTTTGATTGAATAGTTCCACATATTTTTGCAGGAACGATTGATATGCCTCATTAGGATCATCTTTAGAATATACGTGATTCCAGTTTTCTTTGCCCAAATCCTGTTGAAAATGTTGTAGTGACTGGGTTGTCTGGTGTCTTATGAGTTTATACTTTGATTCATTTTCATTTTTTATTTTTAAACGATTGTGGAAGACAGCAAAAACAGGGAGGTGGTCGCTTACATCACTAATCAGAAGGCCACCAACTATTTTATTCTCAATTTTATTTGAAAATATATTGTCAATCAATGTAGTTGTATCCACTGTAATCCTGCTAGGCTTATTTATGATTGGAACCAGCATGTTGCTGTACATCATGTTACAGAAGTCTGCAGTTTTACTGTGAGCTGTGACATTTAGTAGATCAATGTTAAAATCACCACATACTATTTGTTCTTTCGCAAAGTTTAAGTTTACCACTTCATTCATTTTTTCATTAAATAGATGTATGGAGGATCCTGGGGTTCTGTATACACAAGTAACAAGTACATTTCTGTAGTTTTTAGACTCAATTTCAACTGTTACACATTCAAATAGATCCTGTATTACAATTGATTTGTTTTCAATACATTTGTAATGCAAAGCTGAATCCACATACAAACCAACCCCGCCACCCCTTTTACTGTGTCTACTTACTGTAACCAGCTCATACCCTTCCATTTGCACCTCTGTGATTTTATTTTCATCCAGCCAAGTTTCAGATACAGCAATAATACTAAATTTGGAGAGTGATTGCAATAGTTCCTTTATTTTGTCAAAGTCTTTCCAAATGCTCCTGCATAAAAGACCACACCATTCTTTTATCCCGCCTGAAACACCTCGGCCTCTCTGGTGCTGTCCAGAAATGGTTCACTTCTTATTTAACAGACAGATCCTTCATGGTGAGTTTGGATACCTGCTCCTCTCAGGTCCATAAAATCACATGTGGTGTGCCCCAGGGTTCCATTTTAGGTCCAGTCCTTTTTAACCTGTACATGCTCCCTCTTGGCGGTGTCGTCAGGAGACATGGAATTAACTTCCACAGCTATGCAGATGATACACAGCTGTACATCTCCATGTCTCCTGATGATACACAGCTGTACATCTCCATGTCTCCTGATGATACACAGCTGTACATCTCCATGTCTCCTGATGATACACAGCTGTACATCTCCATGTCTCTGATGATACACAGCTGTACATCTCCATGTCTCCTGACGACACCAGGTCAATGGATGCTCTTTTTAACTGCATTTTAGACCTGAAATCCTGGATGGCAGAAAACTTTCTCCAGCTCAACCAGGACAAAACTGAGGTTTTAGTCATCGGTCCTGAGGCCCAGAGAGAGAAACTTTTATCAAAACTCCAATCACACTCTTTTAATCCATCATCACAAGTGAGAAACCTGGGCGTAATCTTTGACTCTGAGCTGACTTTTATTCCTCACATCAAGAGTATCACAAAAATAGGTTTTTATCATTTAAAGAACATCGCCAGAGTCCGCCCCATTCTCTCTCGGGGCAACACGGAGACGCTGATGCATGCTTTTATCACCAGTCGCATTGACTACTGTAATGCCCTGCTCTCTGGTCTTCCCAAAAAGAACATTTCAGGTTTACAATTACTCCAAAACTCGGCCGCACGTGTCCTGACTAAGACCAGGGGGCGGGACCACATTACACCGGTTTTAAAATCGCTGCATTGGCTCCCCGTGTGTTTCAGGATCGATTTTAAGGTTCTTTTAATGGTTTTTAAATGTCTTAATGGTCTTGGGCCTTCTTATCTTTCAGATTTGCTTTTATCCTATGAGCCTTCCCGGCCCCTGCGCTCCTCCGGAAGCAGACTCCTAACCATCCCCAAAGTCAGGACACACACTCACGGTGGGGCATCTTTCCAGCACTACGGCCCCCGTCTCTGGAACAGTCTGCCGGAGGAGCTCAGGGCGGTAGAGAACGTTCATATTTTTAAAAGCAGGCTCAAGACACACCTTTTTAGATTAGCTTTTGATTAGTTTTTACTATTTCATTTTATATATTCTATTTATCTTCTATTATTTATTGTATTGCTATTGCTTTTATTCATGTATTGTGTGTTAGTTGATTTTAGTTTCACATTTTTGTGTTTTACATATTGTATTGTTATTGTATTGTTTTTAGTGTACCCAGTGTTTCCTCTGGAGGAGCCCTCTGCACTGGGAGCGGTGGTCGGCATGGCTGTGGGGGTCGGACTCTTGGACCTGGTGGGGGCCTGGGGCCTCGGTTTCGGGTCTCCTCTAGATCCTGTGTCGTCCCCTGTGGCTACAGGCGGCTCTCTGCTCCTGGTGCAGATGGCTCCTAGGATGACGCTTTTTCAGCTGGTTGCATCCGAACCCTGCCAAGTCTCTCATCATTGTTTTACTGTTTTACTTGTGTGTGTGTGTGTGTGTGTGTGTGTGTGTGTGTGTGGGTGTGTGTGTGTGTGTGTCAGAGAGTGTGCATGGGAGCGTGTGTGTGTTTGTCTGTGGTTTGGGGTGGGTCTGTTGGGTGGTCGGGGGGAGGGGACATGGGCCGGCGGGATTGTTTTTAACCAAACTGTAAAGCACTTTGTGTTGCATCTTTTGTATGAAAAGCGCTTCATAAATAAAATTTGATTTGATTTTTTAATTTATATGTATAATTGATAAATGTTCATCCATGTCAACCTTACTTTTGAACTGCTCTTCTGTGAAATACTCACAGCTAATGTTTAAATTGTCATAAAATTGCATTTCTGGGTTTAAATCATGTTCCATATGAGTCATTTTATATTTTGATGAGACAGAAGTGTTGATATACCCTCTGTGAGTTCACCTGATTTCTTTGATAATATTTCGTCCAGTTTCACGCACTGTTCCGAGTCCTCTTTGTCAATAACTCCAAAATTGAATATAATAAAGGAAAAAATAACCAAAACTTCCAGCCAAAAAAATAAATAAAAAGTCATAAACTCCGGAGCCAGGTCCACTTTGGTGCATAGAATCCAAATCAAGTACGCTTTCTTGATCTCGCAGAAATCCACTTAAAGTCTTGCCGATATTCCAAACATACGGAAACATAGATTCATTGTCGCTCTTGATTCGATTGACAGTCATCCTTTTGGAGTCAAGTGCCTGTTTATTTATACTGATCCATATCATTCAGATTTCTTATTGTCACAACCTTTGCTTCTTCTGGCGCACCATTGGCGTATCTGTAAGAAAGAGCCCCCAGTGAGGGTGGTCTTCTCTTAGTCAATTTTCTGGCTGAAAAACCTGAAGATGTGCTAGCCAAAGACACACACGTAGGTGAAAACTGGTGATAAAGCCAAACTGTTTTGAGCGCAAGGAACTAGTAATCTGGATTTTATTACATAGTTACATTTTTGGCATGAAAGTTAGGTATCCCAACTTTAGGGTGGATTATTCAGTGGTTTCAAACTTTTGTTGTTTTGAACTTCTCACACAGAATTCTCATTAGCAGTTTTGGCCAAGTAAATGTATTTTAGTGAAGCCCACAAGAAAAAATGTGTACGCAAAATATGTCTAATCCATGTGTTTCTATATTGCAGCAACAGCAAAATGCACAGGTCCAGAGCAATAACAACAGCAATATATTGATACAAATCTTACAAAACTAAAACTCAAAGAAACATTGATCTGAAAAACAGTTAATTTACTAATATACAGAATGTTATTGTAGCATTGTCCTTGCTAAAGTAGCTCCACGGTGACTGGTGATATCTGTGAACTTCTCTCTCTATTTGAATGAAGATTACAGAAGAACAAAACTAGCTAGATTATTTTTGCTGATGAAAGTAAACAGTCCAATCTTTCAGAATCTGGTTTCATATTTTACATAGTCATAGCACACAATATTCTGTGGGTCTTGAAAGTCAGTGAAATCATCAAAAACGGCTGGCAGTCAGTGATTTAAGGCCCGGTTTGACACCCCTGGCATTAAAGAACGAGTCGACAAATAAATATAAATATCTCCTTGGATTTTTTGCGCAGGGGACGACAGAAGTGTATTCACAGCAAATAGAGGCAAATATAAATGTTGTACTCACGGTGTTGGGCATGATGGGGTCGAGGTAGGAGTGAATGTCGTCGTAGTTGGCCTGCAGACTGAATATGTCATCGATGACGTCATCCATCTGAAAACAAAACAACAACAACGATCGTTAAAAGCCTAAACAGAACAGACCATTCAGAACCAGCTTTTACATTGAGTTCTGTGGTTGCTATAGCGATGCTGCCGACGTAGCCTATGTGTTTGTACAGCGCAGGAAGCCTATATCAGCTGTTGATCTCCAGAGCATAAAATGTTTTGTCCCAACTGCTATTAGTCTGCTGAATTCTCTGCAGCTTAATAGTTATGTGGACTTTGATGTTTGAGCTTTTATTGTTGTATTATGTTCATATGTTTGTATGGGCTCCACTTCATTTCAAATCGCTTTTGTTACTGTCTGTCATTTCCTGTTTTTAATGTTTTTTTAAGTTTTAATGCGCTGCTCAAATGAAGGCCCCTAGTGGGATAAATACAATAGTCTGAATCTGAAGAGCTGATGGCGTAGCACACATTCCTGTTTCCTTGTGTTTATGTGAACAGCAGAAAGACATGAAGACGTGGTCACAGGAAGCAGAACAACCTTAAAGGGGAGGTGGTTAAAGGAGTTTGTGTCTTGTGTAAAAGCCCATCCAGTTTGTTGAAAAAAACACTTTATACACTTTTCTAACCACATGAACTCAGGACGGCTGTAGTGTAATCGCAGAGGTATCTTTCGTAGATTAACCACACAGAGACGGGATCGTGGGTCTGAGTGCTGCTGCAGCTGTCAAAAGCCATGCATAAACTGTAAAATACAGCTGCAGAGGACAGAGGGGCAGGAGGAAGACTGAGGGCTCCGGGAAGACCGTGCTAGTCCTGAACTAATCAGCCCAGTGCAAAGAAGCCACACAAGTTTTCTTATGATTTTAAATAAAGATAACTGTCATGTTATACTTAGGTAATAGGTAATGTGATGTTGTTGGAGTAAACGCACATGAGAACCACAAATCAGAAACACAGCGAGGCCGCCAAAGATGAACGACACTATAGTGAAGGAGCACTGCATTGTCTATTCACTAGTATAAAAAATGAGAAGTTTTTTTTTCGGAAGTTTTTCAGAATTCAATGGGACACAAGACACACTAAAGCAATATCACTTTCTTGGTTAAAATAGTCCTGTTTTGAGGCCGACATGACACGACGCAGTTAAAACGTGCAAGTGGGGTCGAAGTCTGTGGTTCAAAGTCGTCCTGTCGCTCGTTAAGCTGCAATTACAGCTGCAGAGGCGTAATGAGCCATTTAAAAGTCAATGAAAACAAGTGTGCGTTACAGTCCCAGAGTCCACCCACAATCTGTGAACAAACACCACACCAGAGCTGCGAAAAAGCCATCAAATCATTACCACGCTTACATAAAAAGTGAGGAGAATGCCACTTTGCGGGTAATATTTAATCCTCGTAATTGTATATGGGACAATATTGAAGTCATATTTTTTCTGTTTCCTCCTTGAAATTCACGAGGACCTGAAAACATTCAACCAAACAAACCAAACCCTGGTAAATCATCTTTTAAATTGATATTTCCAGATAGATAGATATTTTATTGATCCCCGTAGGAGAAATTCAGGTGTTCAGTAGCAGCAAAAATAAAATAAAATTGATCATTCTAAAAAGTTAAAAATAGTAATAATAAGCAACAGCCCTTCAGCCTTCAGGTCACAGCAGAAGAGGTGGAGTATCATCTGGGTGGAGCAGGACGGGTCACAATGTGGTGTAGCCTCTGGGTTTGGATCATTTTCTCTGCTCTAGTCTAAAGTAAAATGCTAAATGCTTCATTAGCATTGTTCAAAATGTTAGCATTCCTCCAGTGGATTTTCACCTGATCCGCTTGTTTCAGACCATGAATCCTCTCTGCTCTGATCTGGACCAGTGTAAAACCTAGTACCTTCTAGTAGTAGTAGTAGTAGTAGTAGTAGTAGTAGTAGTAGTAGTAGCAGCAAATTAGCAAGTTTATTTGTATAGCACAGTTCATACACAAGGCAACTCAAAGTGATTAACAAAACAAGATGAGAAAAATTACAAAAGGCATTAAAAGCATAAATAATCATTACTTGGCCATAATAGTACATTCCAAATAGGGTATTCCTTCAGTTGTATGTACAGCTAAACGGAACCAATTTAACTTGGGCTTGAACGTTGTCAGAGTAGAAGCCTGTCTCACATTTTTAGGAAGACTGATCCCGGTTGTTGCTGCATAAATCTAAAACGCTACCTCCCAGTTTTCTGTCCTTATTTTGGACACCAGCAGGAGGCCAGTCCCTGTGCTCCTTTAAGTCTGAAGATGGAGAGGTAATGACAGCAGAGAGGGAGCCATGAGACGCAGAGTAAGTAAGGGATAACGTATAGTATACCTTGAGTCATAAACCTCACATTAACTTTTATCAAGCCACTAAACTGCATATAATTGTTCTGAATCACTGTCCACACCTCTACATGTTATTATAAAAGCTGGGGCACCTAACTTTATCGTTTTATTAAAATAAATGTTGTTTGCCCCAGCAGAAAGAGTCTTGTAAAAGTCAAATGTTTTTAACAGGTGATTTTCTAAGATTCTATAGCTTGCACTAAAAACATTGTACTACAAAACAGCTGAATGAGGAAAAGACCAAATATTATGCATTATTTTGGCCATAAAATATTATAATCACACTAAAGACTATGTCATTTGAAGTTTTAGAACGCAATGTTTTTTGGCCTGTAACTCCCTATGCTGCCACCAGAGGGAGGAGTTGAATTTGTTTAGCTCTATTCCAAATTTGAAAATTAGCGGCGAACTGGAGCCATGTGATAGTAGAGAAAGAGAAATTGCCAAAACTCATACTTGGGGAATACTCCTGATTTAAAAGAAAACTGCTGTGATGTCATAGTAGTACAATGACATCATACTGTTACAGGACTGATGCTGCCTTTGTGCAATCTCGGAAACTCAGAGATATCGACGTAATCTACGGACTTCCCAAAATCAGAGACAAATACACCCACACTGACCCACAAACACACACACAGAAACACACACGCACAGAGAAACATACACACACACGCACAGAGAAACATACACACACACGCTCAGACACACACACAAGCACAGAGAAACATACACACCCACGCTCAGACACACACACAATCATACACACGCACAGAGAAACATACACACACACAAACACACATGCACAGAGAAACATACACACGCACGCTCAGACACACACACACAATCACACACACAAAAACAAACACGCACAGAGAAACATACACACACACGCTCAGACACACACACACACACAGAAACACACACGCACAGACAAACATACAAACACACGCTCAGACACACACAAACACACACAAACACACACAGAAACACACACGCACAGACAAACATACACACACACGCTCAGACACACACACACCCACTCTCACAGAGACACGGACACACACACGCAGACATATACACACAGACACGCAGACAAACAGAAACACACATTGAGATCACAGTGGGGACATTGGTCTCTCCCTATGAACCAATACCTATGTGTTCTATCGTTTTTGTGTTTGATTCTCTGATTTGTGTTTGTGTAATTTCAACGGTTTTGTAAAGTCCTCTGACATTACTACTGTTGTGATTTAGGGCTATTCAAGAATACATTGAATTGATCACCATCACTGTGGCACCTGGTTTTCCCGGAGGTCTCCCATCACAGTACGAACCTGGCCCTACCCTGCTTAGCTTCAGAGGTGTGACAGGATCAGTTGTTCACATGCAGGTATGACCCCCAGTGTGATTACATATTCTCCTCAATAACATTAACGACCTTACAAGTGGCTCACCTCTTTCTCGTGCCCAGAGCCGATGTTGAGCATGGCCATGGGACTGTTGGGGGCGCTGTTCCCTGGGATCAGCTGCTCCGGGTGCATGTGTGCGGAGTGGACCGGAGCGTGAGCCGTCAGTCCCACAGCGGGGCCCAGAGGAGGAGCCGGGGCTGGGGGAGAGGGAGGCACCGGCCCGGCCACCGTCTGGATCGTCTGGAGGTCAAGACAAAACGGAATTAAGAAAGGGTCAGTGAATGTGGACGAGGGATGGGATTAGCGGAGACACTGAAATGCAATGGAATTTTTGTCTTCTAATGACATCAGTTTAGGAAGGTTCATCTTGTCTTCTTAGTAGACATAAAAGTATTTGTTACATTTACTTACTAACTTACAAATCTATATGTTTTCGATGTATCCACCAAAACATGTCAAGGTAAAAACATCGCTAACTATTGTCTGGTATTGAAGAACTAAATACTTTTATTTTGAATGACATTATTTGTGAGACAAATATGTTGATTGTGAATGCATAGAGCAGAAAATAATCATTATCAGAGAGTAATCGTCTTATTTTGATTTGTGTGTAGCAGCTATTTAAGTTTAACATGTATTCTAAAGGGTAGACGTCAAGGGTAGTAAGCTTTAACTTCTGCCTATTCCTTTCTCAGCCCTTATTTTCCCAAGTGCCCTAAAATGGCCCTTGGGAAATAATTAAACTATAACTAAATTAAACTAAAAATCTGAAACTTGTTTGATGTCTTTTTCTGTCCACGTAAACCTCTGTAAATCGAGTATGCAATCCCAATATTTGTCATAAATATCACAGCGGGACAGAGAGGAGGGGGCTGGTACCTGCTTGGTGGCATGGGTGGTGGACAGGTACTCTTTGACCTGTTGTCTCACAGACTGGCGGATGTGGTAGTCTGTGGGGTTCTCCAGGTGAGTCTGCACCTACAAAACAGACACAATATTATTATCATCGATTTTAATGTATTGATTACTTTCAAAGTTGTGTACATCAATTCAACAAAGGCCCTTCTTGAAGAGTACATCTGTATTTTGTGTCCAGTACAGTTTGTGGATCAGGAGGACGGACCCCTGGGGAGCCTCCAGACTGCGGGTCAGGACCTCAGAAAAACAGTGTCCCTGGTTCGCACAAACCAATAAACAGAGATAAATAGTTTTGATTTTTTCCAATGGACAAAGAGAAACTTTCTTTTTCTTCTCTAAACATTTTATGAGAGTCTTTCCTATACCACAGATTAGCACTGAACACTACTCTATCCGGGATAATGTAGGACTCATAGGTCCAGAGTATGAATTAATTGCTTTTTGGTGTTAAGATTTGTTTTTAGGAGCCTCAGTACAAACATTTCCGTCCTGGCCCCTTCACACATGTCCTCATCAAAGCACTTTAATTTTGAGTCACTGCTGATTGTTACCCCCAAGTGCTTTGCATCAAGAAGGAGATGTTGTGGCTCTCAAAAGTGACTTGAGCAAAGCAATCATACAGTCTTTGAAGCGTTGGATTTCATACCCCAGGTGTGGGCCCAACTGCCTGGACATGCAGTTGTTTGGGTAAATCTCCTGCAGCGACTGAATTAACAGTTTGACCCTCTCCACATGCAGCTCCATCAGCACTCCTGACGGACACTAATCACTGTCCTAAGTCACTGAGCACTCTTCATAACTGCAGTGACGGTGGCACTAAACAGGTATCAGTGTCTATGAGTAAATCCCTGTTAAAGTGTCCAGAGCAGCAGCTGAACTGGCCGGGGCCCCTGAGGTCACACAGCCCCGTTTCCACCGGCTCTACACTGCTCTATTATACTCTGCTTTACTCTACCTACCTTACCCTACTAGGGATGTAAATCGGCGACCGTTTAACCGGTGGTTGACCGTCACAGCGTTAACCGGTCAAAGCTGTCGGTTAAAAAAGAGAAAAAGGGGAGAGGGGAGGTCTCTTAATAACGCTATTTTAAGCCCTATTTGCACGGTGTGACGAGCGGGTCTGTATCTAGCTGTGTGCGCCCATGTAATATAAACTCCGGGACGACTCTCACGGCGCACAAGCCACATATGCACACACGCACGCGCGCACACACACACACACACACACACACACACACACTTTCCCCCTCTCCATACGTAACATCCACACGCATCATCTCTCCCCTCTGTTACCGTCAAAGTTGCACACTGGCGCGGGTCAGAACTACATTGGAGCTTACATTTACACACACACACACACACATATACATACACACACACACATACACACACACACACCGGTCTGTCGCGCTCCTCTGTGTCACGGAGCCCAAAGGATTCGCGCAAATACGCGGTTCCAGTCAAACCACATGGACCATGTTTGTGTTTATGGTCCTCGGGATCAGCTCCACACACATCACTTGTATTTAAACTTTTGTGAAGACCTGTGAGACGCGGCTCGTCACTCGCTGCTCTGACCATGTGAACGAGCCGTCGTTTGCTGCTAGAAAGTTTTGGTATTAACCCGCAGCACAGCAGAATGGGAAGAATTAAAAAAGCAGTTCTCTGTGCGCAAAGGTGCCGGAGCTGTTGCGGGTTTGGGCGCCGCTGTCTCAACTCCGATCCAGTAGAACGCAGAGCTGCACTTATGAAAAGTACGCGGCTCGAAATGGCTGTTATTTCAAAGAACGTGGACTATTTTAAACTACGCGGTTAACCGGTTTCAACCGGTTAATGAGGCTCGGTGGTCGGTCATGAAAATTCATAGTTTTTTACATCCCTATACCCTACCCTACTCTTCTCTACCCAACCCAATCCAACTCTACTCTACTCTACTCTACTCTAACTAACTCTTCTCTACTCTACCCTATCCAAACCTACTCAACCCTTCTCTACCTTACTACGATTAAACGGTGAAAATACTTCCAATCAGCACAGAGTAGAGTAAAGTAGGGTCAAGTAGGGTTGGTGGAAACGGGGCTTACAGTATGTGCCCTCTCTGAAGGACTGAGGACCAGAGGACCAGAGCCAAAAACACAAATCCAGCACTAAAACTAAGAACACGTCGCATCATACCTACAGAATAACAGCAATCCACCTGGGAACAAACACCAAAATACTTCAAAGGATACATCTCTGACCAATGCTTCAACAAGACGACATCCACTCCACTTTAAAGTGACAAGCCTTTTTCCTCTGTGCTTTCCAAGTCATGAAACTCGACTTTGTACTTTTCAAGGGCTGCCCAGAACTCTCCAGAAAGTTTCATTGGTGAAACACAAGAGTGATGCTCTGCTCTGGTGCAGGAAGAGGAAGAGGAACATGTCATTAGTTACAGCACTTTCCCCTTGCCTTAAAGAGCTTTTAGTTGGATAAGAGTTTTACTTTTTTTTATTTTATTTAATTTATTCATTTTCTAATAAGAGGACCACCTTCACATTGCCAGCTTTAAGACTCAAGTGGCTCTCTCTTAGTTTTTAGAAGAGCAAAAGATCAAATGTTTTGACATGAGATAAAGTTTTATGTTTAGTATGGACTGTTTTGTGTCTAAAGAAAAAAAAGGTTTGCCCGATTCAACATTGTTTTCAATTAGTTATGGCGTGAGAATTGAAACAGAGCAGACAGAAAGTAGTAGTAACTGTATATGGTGCAAATCCTATTTTTGTAAGACAAATGGTTTTGCCCTTTGTCCCTGTGAAAAACACTATACTAATGAACTAAACCATGCTCAATGTTGCTCTGGCTGATTTGCAACTTTTTTATAATTGTTTATCGTGAGGGTTATGTTCTAAAAATAAACTCGCAATAAGTGAAATCCTCTCAGTAGCAGTTTGATGTTTTAAGAATGAAAAGCTCCTCATACATGGTGTAAACTTTTCTAACCTCCTGAACTCACGACTGCTGAAGTGCGATCGCAGAGATATCAAACCAGTTGCACGGCTTCTGAGTGCTGCTGCAGCTGTCAGAAGCCGTGCATGCACCGTAAAATACAGCTGCAGAGGACAGAGGGGCAGGGGCAGGACTGAGGGGCTACAGGAAGACCGCAATATTCCTCTGAGCTACCACGGGGCACAAAAGCCACAAAAGTTTTCTTCCGACTTTGAATAAAAGTTAAAGTTACATAAGATGCTGTTATGTACGTTATAGTGAGGGATTACTGTACTATAACAGCCTATGATTTTAATGAATGACTTTGACGACTATAGTTGCACCTGTGCTATCCTCCTATCAGCTTTCTCTATGAAGTTTATTACTGAGTAGAGCTGGTTTAATCAAACACCACATGCTAAATATATATAGGACCATATATCTGGCCCCACAGCAGCCATCCTGTTGGCTGACAGCATAAATACACAAACATGATTGGTTGTGATTCGTAACACACATCGTTCTTTGCAAGAACTTATCTCCAGTCAATGTGTTTGAAGCCATTTCAGAAATCTGTCAGCGCGGATCAAGTCCACAGAACACACAGAGGCGCGTCAAAGCTGAGATGGACAGGCACGACAACAAAGGAAACGCTCCCTGGAGGCTGCGGTGGCCAGAGAAAAGTATGACAGTTGATTTGATACAGTCTATTAGATGTCAGGTCTCTGCACTGGCTTCCTGTGGCTCTGAGAATAGACCTTAAAGATATGATAAGATAGGATAAGCTTTATTGATCTCACAATGGAGAAATGTACATGTCTCTGCTTGTGTACTAGTCTCTCCATGGCCTCGCAACAAAGTACATATGAGACTTTTTGGTGCCATATGAATAAACTTGGACTCTGAGGAGCACAGGGACTGGCCTCCTGCTGGTACCCAGAGTGAAAACTAAACATGGGGAGGCAGCAATTTCAGATTTTTGCAGCTAAAATCTGGAACAGTCGTCCTGATAATGTGAGACAGTATGTTCAGCACTTAGAGTTACCTTGTGAATGAATTGTGCTCTACAAATAAAATTGCCTTGCCTTACTCTGACAATGTTGAAATCCAAGTTAAAACAGTTCTGTTTAGCTGTGCATACAACTTGGATGGAAATATTTCAGATTATTTGTTTTTTCATAATCAATTGAGGGGACTGTGATTATAAATGCACAGCATATTTCCCTACACCGCATGTTAACAAGGTGAAAACTCGCAACTTTGGTGAAAATTGTCTTAATGCAAAGATCCGGAAGAGCTCTGTTGCACAAACACTTCGGCATGAGTGGAATTAGCCCCTCCCTTATCTCCGCGGTGAGTCGTATCACTCAAACAACTCAAACACGTCAATCAAAACGTCTTATCTCCACTCTGCTCGCCCGCCTGTCTTCTTCCCCGTGTGTAAAGGAGACACAACATGCTTCTGTCTCCTCTGTAGCCATTATCTCGGTCCCCTCTGGTTATACCTGTATGTGTTGCACACTTATTCTCTTGCTGCGGTAGGGTCTAAGGACTGCGGTGACGATCCAGGACACTCGAAAATCAACAACATTTATCGACTATACAGAAATAAATGTAATTGAATTATTCACTTCTGCCGTCAGAGCTTGGATAAAAACAGAATTGGCCACGTGTCACAGTTGCTGCTTCAGGAAAGAAAACGGGAGAACAAAGAAAGGCGGAGAGCGCTTGTGCTTCACAGCCATTCCACAATTTGATTCAATTCTGAATGTTCTCCCTGTGTCTAAGTAGGTTTCCTCCAGGTGCTACGTCTACCATCAAAAACATGTAAAATAGGGCCTCAAAGCACCCAACCCGACCCCACTCCTGCTTCCTCTCTCTGGGGCGAGGACTCCCGTGAAAAAGGTATAGTAGTAGTCAGTGTTGTGTGTGAATGAGTTCAAAAGAACGCGTTCATTGAACACGCTCATTTATTCTGGAACGTTGAACTGAACGCAACACATTTTTTAATAAAGAACTTGAACGTAATTAGTTCATATTATGTGTCATGAACGGAAGATAATTTGTTTTCCATTGAAAACGGAGTGATATCCGTTTTCTCTTTTGAAACACAACAAGAGAAAGTTCCTCCCTCCTGTATTCTCCGCGTCTTTTTCCGCCGAAATCAAAAAATTCCCACGGTTTCCACAGTCTGTGAACGCACCCCGACTCCGGGTTACTACGGTGCGCCGCTGTATGCCAGTGCTATTCATTGGTTGCTGGACTCACATGTGCCGTGATGAAAACACAGGGGTAAGTCAGTGACACAGGGCCGTTTACATTTGACATAAAGTATAGATACACGCACTGCAGCGCATCACAGTTTGTACTTATGAGCAGAGGAGGGACAGCTCAGTTCCTCTTGAAACCCATGTAAATCTTATAAATATAAAATACATATGAATACATATATATATATATATATATATATGACACACCAAGTATAGTGATTTCTAGCTTCTAGTGATTTCTAGTGAAAAAAAGTATTTACTTGAATATCTCTCGCAAAAAGTAAAATGAACTGAACTTTGAACTAGTTAAAAATGTGAACTTTGAACGTGAACTGTTCACTTTGAGCATGTATGAACTGAACTTGAACTAGTTCAGAAAAGTTGTGAACTGGCACAACACTGGTAGTAGTAGTCATTTGTTTTCTTTCATTATGAACATTTAGATCTTTGGTCAGATGTTTTTCAAAGATCTCGTACATTTTGCAATAAATAAAAGAAACAGAGACATGTATACTAAAGATATATAGGACGATTTTCTACTTCTGGGTGGATCATCAAGACTATTGGTCCTCCCAATTGTCAATCATTCTGGTGATACGAGCTTGTCAAATAAGACTAGGGATGTAAAAAACTATGAATTTTCATGACCGACCACCGAGCCTCATTAACCGGTTGAAACCGGTTAACCGCGTAGTTTAAAATAGTCCACGTTCTTTGAAATAACAGCCATTTCGAGCCGCATACTCTTCATAAGTGCAGCTCTGCGTTATACGGGATCAGAGCCGAGACAGTGGCGCCAAAACCCACAACAGCTTCGGCACCTTTGCGCACAGAGAACTGCTGTTTTAATCTTCCCATTCTTCTGTGCTGCGGCTTAAAGCATTTTTAAGCAAAAGACAGCTCGTCCACATGGTCAGGGCAGCGAGTGACGAGCCGCGTCTCACAGGTCTCCGCTAAAGTTTAAAAGTGATCAGTGTGGAGCTGATGCCAAGGACCAGCAGCACAAACATGGTCCATGTGGTTTGACTGGAGCCGTGTATTTGCAAGAATGCTTTGGGCTCCGTGACACAGAGGAGCGTGACAGACCGGTATGTGTGTGTGTGTACAATACATGTATGTATGTGTGTATATGTCTGTGTGTGTGTATATGTAAGCTATGTGTGTGTGCAATACATGTATGTATGTGCGTGTAAATATAAGCTCCAATGTAGTTCTGACCCGCACCAGTGTGCAACTAGCAGGCGGTAACAGAGGGGAGAGATGATGCGTGTGGATGTTACGTGTCAATGGAGGGGGGGGAAATGTGTGTGTGTGTGTGTGTGTGTGTGTGCGTGTACATGTGTGCGTGCATATGTGGCGCGTACGGCAGAGTTTACTGTTACATTGGCGCACACAACTAGATAGGGACCCGCTCGTCACATCGTGCAAATAGGGCTTAAAATAGCGTTATTAAGAGACTTCCCCTCTCCCCCTTTTCTCTTTTTTAACCGACAGCTTTGACCGGTTAACGCTGTGACGGTCAACCACCGGTTAACCGGTCACCGATTTACATCCCTAAATAAGACCAGAGAGTTTTGTTCAAAAAGTAGAGAAGGCGGTTCTTTCCTAAAAGTAACTAATTATTGTTAGTAACTTTTAGAATTATGTATTTATTTGTTTGTATGTATAGATGTGTTTCTGCTGCTGGACACCTGCATTTCTTCGACAGGGATCAATAAAGTATCTATCCATCTATGACCAAAGATGACACATTGTACAATTTCACAATCACAACTGGGGTTAAATGTCCCAGTTGTGATGTGGCACCGTACTGACCTTGAGCACCTCCACGGGCACCTGCAGGCTCTGGAAGTGCTGGGGGGTGGTGATGGCGGGGGTGGGAGGGGGCGCGCAGGTGCGGTTCATGTAGTGCAGAGCTGCATTCTGCTGCTGACGCTCGCGCTGCTCCTCCTGCTGCAGCTGGTCCCGCATCAGCTGAAAACACCACACACATGTGTCAGGAAGACGGGCAGATTCATGGATGTCTCAGCAACTCAGAAGTTCAGACCGTTTAGGAAAAATAGGAACGCTGCTCAACTTTGGGAATTCAAATCAGGGCTGAGACTCGGGCTGAGACTCGGGCTGAGACTCGGGCTGAGACTCGGGCTGAGACTCGGGCTGAGACTCGGGCTGAGACTCGGGCTGAGACTCGGGCTGAGACTCGGGCTGAGACTCGGGCTGAGACTCGGGCTGAGACTCGGGCTGAGCAAAGAGAGACCAAAGAGAGAGACCTGAGAAAGACCTGAGAGAGACCAGAGAGAGAGAGAGACACCAGAGAGAGAGAGTGAGAGACCAGGGAGAGACCCAAGACAGGCAGAGACCAGAGAGAGAGAGACCGGAGAAAGACACCAAAGAAAAAGACCAGAGAGAGAGGAGAGAGACCCGAGAGAGACCAGAGAGGAGTAGGATTGAGAGCTATAAGAAGGCCGTGGTTTTCTCCTAACTTTGAATAAAAGTAACGGTCATGTTATACTAGCAGTTATATGATGTTATAATAATAATAATAATACATCAAACTTGTATAGCGCTTTCTTGGACACTCAAAGACGCTTCACATGGGGAGTAGAATACAATAATAAAAAGGGGTTTACGGAAAAGCTTGTTTGAAAAGATGGGTTTTGAGTACAGATTTAAAGTTAGATAGTGAGTCAGAGTTTCTAATGAGCAGTGGGAGTGAGTTCCAGAGGGTTGGGGCGGCAATGGCAAAAGCTCTGTCCCCCAAGGTTCGGCGGTTAGTGTTATAAATGATGTTGTTGGAGTATAATTTTTGGATAGCCCTAAATCACAAAAGTAGCCATCTTAGAGGACTTTGCAAAGCTGTCGATTTGCCAACACAGATCAGAGAATCAAGCCGTTCAAATACAGGAAACGCATTGAGTTACAGTTAGAGACCATGGCATTGCGTGTTCAGCGTACTGTTTTATCAAGTGCAGAATTATAATCAGACAGTACTTCTAATTGAACAACTGTATCAAGAAGTCTCTAGTAGCCCATTCAGGTCGTTTGTTTTGTTTGAATGATGAAATAAGCGTCTCCACAATACACCGCGGCTATTTTCAGACGCGATTATTCGACAGTGAAATATAACACTGTCCCATCTCTACGCTATCGCTATGTCGTCTGAGCGTATAGAGGTCCTCGTCGTCCGTTGAAATAGCCACGGTCGGATACGTGCACATTCTCTGCAGCTCTGGGACTCCGGTGTGACAGACCGGATCAAGGCCTTGTGCTTGAAGTGGAAACTATGCCCCGCACACCTGCACTGTGGGGAGCGGGGATGTCGCCGTGACACATTGCACGGTTAGTTCAGATCGGATTGTTTTGTCTGAGCTCAGAGCAAGACATGTAGTAGATGCAGAACAACAGAGAACAAAAGACTGTTAGTTTTACCTTTTAATGGTTCTCTATCTCAACCATTTGGTAAAGAATCAGAATTATTTCTATTGCCATTGTGAGAAACAGCAAGTCACAAACTAGGAAATTGCTTTGGCTCAAAAAGGACTAGAATAAAAACAATAGGGGTGAAAATAACAAACTATTTGAGTTATTAGATCTTCTACATCTTAGAAAAGGAAAAAAAATTACATTGCTTTCTTCAAGGAGGGAAAATAAAAGGTTAAGCGCTACTGGGGTAGTTTTGCACAGTTTTTCCAATGTGGTTTTACTGCAATTGGCGAATAAATTCTTGTATCTACGTATATAGAGCTCATGAGGATAGGCAAAAAAACACATATAAATGCCTTCTCCTCATTGCATAATTAAATCAAATGTTCTAGGTCAGAGTATGTGAGGTAAGTGCGATAAATAATACATACATACAGTTACGATTGTATTGAGTGTTCAGCGAGTGTTAGTGACCAAAAAACATTAAATTCAAGATGAGTTTCCGTTGTATAACATGCAACAAGCTTCACATTACATGACAGAAGTGAGCTGTTGGGATATGAGCGGTCAGATGAGTGTTTACAATGAGTTTATGGGTGGATTTTGTATTGTGAATGCATCTGGCAGGACACCCATGGAACCGAGATGTTTGACTCTAACTGTGATGTTCCTGCTTGAATTAAAGGTGACACTGGAGCCTCACTAACCCTAACCCTTATTTCCAGGATAGATATTCCAAAAACATCATAGACAACATAATATAACTTAATTTTTTGGCAGTTAAAATCATGATGAGGTGAATAATGCTATAGCCTAACCGCTATGCTACCACCAGAGGGAGGTGTAGAATTTTTATTTTTTTATTTTTAAGTTACCAGCGGCAAAGAACGTACTTTCAGTAAACAATATTAGGGCAATTTTGGAATTCAAACCCAAATTATTTGCATATGACATTTTATGAATACAAAAATTATACATAAAATGCCCAATCTGACTTTACTAACAATAACATAGTTCTACTCGTGCAGTGTTAAAAGCCATATTTTGAAATGAACGCCTGAGGCCAGAGAAAACAGCTGAGATTTTTGCTAGCACTAGCCTCACGCCGCTCACCTGCATGCGCAGCCCGATGCGAGAGGCCATGGCTGGGGCCCGGGGCGGCAGGGGAGGGCGAGCCGAGGTCAGGGCACCACCGTCCAGTCCGAGAGGTTCACAAGGCTGTGGGGAGACAGAAGGGACGTGAGAAAGGGAGACAGAAGAGAATCTCACACATTGGACATTTAGTAGTAACTATAGCACACACATACAGATCTATAATTTAAACAGGTGCCTACGCCAAGGACACACAAACATACACACACACACACCCACATTCACAGGCGCACACACACACACACACACACACACACACACAATAACAACTTTAACGACCTTCATCAGGCTTCAGAACAGACCCTTCTGCCCAGTCTTATATCGCTTGAGGGACCGTCCCCCAGCAGAAATCATCCAATCACATTTGATCGCACACACAGGTATAACCAATCACACCCAAAACCTCAGAATGATTAAACAAGTATTTGCATCTTTATAAGACAACATTATAAGGTGAAATAAGTCAGGAGCCTCACATTCTCAGGCAGAGCAGAAACAATTCTCCTGCACAAACAATCATTACAGCCCAGAAGCATGTGCTGTACCTCCTCCCCGCCTGGCAGCCTCTATACCTGGATCTACAGCCTCAGTCCTGGATCTACAGCCTCAGTCCTGGATCTACAGCCTCAGTGCGGGATCTACAGCCTCAGCTCTGGATCTACAGCCTCAGTCCTGGATCTACAGCCTCAGTCCTGGATCTACAGCCTCAGTCCTGGATCTACAGCCTCAGTCCTGGATCTACAGCCTCAGTGCGGGATCTACAGCCTCAGTGCGGGATCTACAGCCTCAGCTCTGGATCTACAGCCTCAGTCCTGGATCTACAGCCTAAGCCCTGGATCTACAGCCTCAGTCCAGGATCTACAGCCTCAGTCCTGGATCTACAGCCTCAGTCCTGGATCTACAGCCTCAGTCCTGGATCTACAGCCTCAGTCCTGGATCTACAGCCTGAGTCCTGGATCTACAGCCTGAGTCCTGGATCTACAGCCTCAGTCCTGGATCTACAGCCTCAGTCCTGGGTCTACAGCCTCAGTCCTGGGTCTACAGCCTCAGTCCTGGATCTACAGCCTCAGTCCTGGATCTACAGCCTCTACATCTGGATCTACAGCCTCAGTCCTGGATCTACAGCCTCAGTCCTGGATCTACAGCCTCAGTCCTGGATCTACAGCCTCAGTCCTGGATCTACAGCCTCAGTGCGGGATCTACAGCCTCAGCTCTGGATCTACAGCCTCAGTCCTGGATCTACAGCCTCAGTCCAGGATCTACAGCCTCAGTCCTGGATCTACAGCCTCAGTCCTGGATCTACAGCCTCAGTCCTGGATCTACAGCCTCAGTCCTGGATCTACAGCCTCAGTCCTGGATCTACAGCCTGAGTCCTGGATCTACAGCCTGAGTCCTGGATCTACAGCCTCAGTCCTGGATCTACAGCCTCAGTCCTGGGTCTACAGCCTCAGTCCTGGATCTACAGCCTCAGTCCTGGATCTACAGCCTCTACATCTGGATCTACAGCCTCAGCCCTGGATCTACAGCCTCAGTCCTGGATCTACAGCCTGTCCATCCATGGGAGCATATCCCTCTTTTATTTTTTTTGAGTGGTTACTCTCTGATGCAGGAGGGTCTAAGGACAGTGATGATCTGTGACATTTGTGGACAGTGGTCATCCCGCTCCCTATGGACCAATGGCTCCTATGAGTTTCCTGCATCGAACTGTTTGATTCTCTGATCTGTTGTTGGTGAATTGACAACTTTTTAATGTCCTCCCAGATGACTGTAGGTGTGATTTAGGAATATACACAAATATATTGAAAATAATAGAACACTTGTGATCTGGGGAGTATTAATAAATATTAGGCACATTTAAATTTGACAATTCTTTGGAGTCAGTCATAATACAGATAAAAGATACATATTACCTTTTAAACAGTAACAGTTTTTTTAGTGCAATGATTGCCTACATCTGTTTGAAACCTAGCAACTCCATAATTGAAAAACCGTATGAGCCGTCCGACTCTCTTTCAGCCAATCAAATGGTGTCACAGCTCTCCTTTATAAACACTGGTCCTGTATGCGGCCATAGAAGCAGACAGGGAGCCAGAGGAGAAATGCTCTTTGTTGGAAGGGTACAATAAGCCGTCGTGCCCCGTTTGAGACGCACTGGGAGCTGTTGTCCCGGGACACCGCTCACAAACGCACAACGAGGCTCTGTGTCCGTTACACCAGGGCATTCCAGCATCCGTCCTCACCGCCGCACACGCCACAAGACACCAGAGATTAGTGCCACTTACAGCAACGTGCTTCCCTTTCTGATGGACTGAGACGAGTGAGAGACATGCCCGATGTTTATTTATTCATTTATTTATTTATTTGATTTGGAGACAACAGTTAGATTGGACCAGATGCACTGCCTTTAACAAGACCATGCAAATATTCAACACTTGTCCATTTGTCCATAAGAGGCTTTTAGGACATAAAATTAAGTACATGTTCAATTCATTAAACATGTGAAGAACTTCGATACAATTTCACAGGGGAAATTATTAATAGCACTTTGGGAATTAAAACATGAAATCTGCAATCCAGGTCAGTTTCTATTATGGTTGTCAAAATTCAGATATTACTGTAATTTTAGGCCATTAAATGCTACCTGTGGCTTATACAGTAATGAGGCCAATGTATAAATTTGTTGAGTCATAAATAATTATTTTTCTAAGTTGAAAAATGTTTTTGTTTCTTTAATGTGTATATGACAATTAAGTGATATTGTGTCTTGTCTTGTCTCATGACATTGCTGTTTCTCTCCCTCTGTGTGTGTGTGTGTGTGTGTAAGAGGATTAATTGAAGATTTTTGCTTCATCCAATGCCTTTTCAAACCATATTGAGGATTTGTTTTGTTTTTATTATTACGATATATATATTTTGTGAATAATTGTTGTTTTTTCTTGAGCATGTTTGAAATAAATAAAACAACAAAACTGTTTCTTTTCCAATCACTTGTTGCTTGACTGTTTGTTTGACAGATGAAACACTTTGTGAACTTTTAGTTTTGTCCTGGAGGCACCAGAGTCAGGCCTGGAGCTGTGTGCACACGCCTGGAAACACACGCAATGTTCAGAATACTTTACGTTCCTAGTATTGCACAAACCGGTTGTAGATAGAGGTTTTTGCAGAAAGACTCATTTGCAACAAATTAAAAACTCCATAATTATATTGTAAAGATGGATGATGATGTGAAGTCAACAGTGGCTTTGAGTTTGAAATAAACAAATGGTTTTGCTTTTGTTAAATTATATCAGCTTTAATGTTCCTATTCAAAAGATACAATACTGTGTTTTGGATTAACTAACTAACCCTAAATCATTGTTAATTATATGTTAATGACAACAGCTATCGTTTCTCAGTCCTGGATCTACAGCCTCAGTCCTGGATCTACAGCCTCAGTCCTGGATCTAAAGCCTCATTCCTGGATCCACAGCCTCAGTCGTGGATCTACAGCCTCAGTCCTGGATCTACAGCCTCAGTCCTGGATCTACAGCCTCAGTCCTTTTCCTACAGCCTCAGTCCTGGGTCTACACCCTCAGTCCTGGACCTACAGCCTCAGTCCTGGACCTACACCCTCAGTCCTGGACCTACACCCTCAGTCCTGGACCTACAGCCTCAGTCCTGGACCTACAGCCTCAGTCCTGGACCTACAGCCTCAGTCCTGGTTCTACAGCCTCTACAGTGATGATCCATGCTATTTGTCGATGAATCGTCAAATTTGTAAAGGCCTCAGAGACAACTGCTGCTGTGATTTACCACGATACAAGAATACATTGAATTGATTACCTTCACCCTCACATTATGCAGCCTGTTTTTAAGTTCATAGATCACAACTATTTTGTCTTAACATTATAAAAAGGAAATTTAAACAAGGATAAATATTCAAAACAATATAGATGCATCTTGGTCTGAAGCGTTACGGGCAGTAAAGCTATATCTAGAGATTATGAAATGTGGCTGTAGTTCATCATCTCTATGACTCAAGTTGTGAGACCCCCGCTCTGCGATGACGTGCTGTTGTCACTTCCAGGCAGCTCCTCTCTCACAGATCCTCGTTCTGTGACTAAGCGATGACCCGCTCCCTCTTCACACACATAAGACCCAGACCCATTTCTAAAAAAGTCGCTGTCTCAGCCCCTGGACTTCTCCACATGTATAGTCCCACCCGGAAGAGGGGACAATGCCGATGCTACTAAAACCAAAAAAAAGAGACAAGAAAATTGTTTTAAAAAGAAATTTGTATAATAAAGCTCAAGTATAATAAATACATTAAAGATGCATTGAAAAAGGAGGATGGTTGGTGAGGATTCCAATGCTTTTGATAATAGACAAAAATATTTGCACTTTATGTATATTTCTTAATATGCAATAGAGTATACAGTGCCTTGCGAAAGTATTCGGCCCCCTTGAACCTTTCAACATTTCGCCACATTTCAGGCTTCAAACATAAAGATATAAAAATTAAATGTTTTGTCAATAATCAACAACAAGTGGGACACAATCGTGAAGTGGAACAAAATGTATTGGATAATTTAAACTTTTTTAACAAATAAAAAACTGAAAAGTGGGGCGTGCAATATTATTCGGCCCCCTTGCGCTAATACTTTGTAGCGCCACCTTTTGCTGCAATTACAGCTGCAAGTCGCTTGGGGTATGTCTCTATCAGTTTTGCACATCGAGAGACTGGAATTCTTGCCCATGCTTCCTTGCAAAACAGCTCGAGCTCAGTGAGGTTGGATGGAGAGCGTTTGTGAACAGCAGTCTTCAGCTCTTTCCACAGATTCTCGATTGGATTCAGGTCTGGACTTTGACTTGGCCATTCTAACACCTGGATACGTCTATTTGTGAACCATTCCATTGTAGATTTGGCTTTATGTTTTGGATCATTGTCCTGTTGGAAGATAAATCTCCGTCCCAGTCTCAGGTCTTTTGCAGACTCCAACAGGTTTTCTTCCAGAATGGTCCTGTATTTGGCTCCATCCATCTGCCCATCAATTTTAGCCATCTTCCCTGTCCCTGCTGAAGAAAAG